AGAGTTGCATTTCATACTCGTCCCCCACATAGAAGAAAACATGCTTTAGATCTTGTTCATACTGATGTTTGCTCTATGGATGCTAGATCACACCGTGGTGCACAATATTTTGTGACTTTTATTGATGATTTTTCTAGAAAAGTGTGGGCTTTTGTTTTGAAACATAAAGATCAGGTACTTGAAGCTTTTAAGGAGTTTCATGCCAGAGTTGAAAGCGAAAGTGGTAGAAAGCTCAAGTGTGTCAGATCAGACAATGGTGGTGAGTACAGAGGTCCATTTGAGAACTATTGCAAAAGTCAGGGCATCAAGCTTGAGAAGACAGTTCCGAAGACACCTCAGCTTAATGGAGTTGCAGAAAGAATGAACAAAACAATTGAAGAGAGAATCAGGTGTATGCTATCTCATGCTAAGCTGCCAAAGTCCTTTTGGGCGGAGGCAATGTTCACTGCCGTGTACCTGATTAACCTTTCCCCTTCAGGTGATGTTCCTCAGAGAGTTTGGTCAGGGAAAGATGTCTCCTATAAGCATTTGAGAGTCTTTGGTTGCAGAGCATTTGTTCATATTCCCAGAGATGAGAGATCCAAGCTTGATAAAAAGACCAAAGAGTGCATATTTTTGGGGTATTCAGAGGATGAGTTTGGGTACAGACTATGGGATCCACGTGATAGAAAGTGATCAGAAGCAGAGATGTGGTTTTCTATGAAGATCAGACTATTGAAGATTGTGAGAAGAAGCAGGCAAATCCTTCTCCATGCATCACAGTTGATCCAGCTCCATCTCTTCCTCCTGTTGTAGTCCCTCAAGATCATGGGGGAGATATGCATGATCATATAGTTGAGTCCCCTGCAGATGACCATCATGATGATGATAATCATGATGATGGTGGTGATGGTGTTCCAGAGTCACAACCACACTCAGAGCCGCCTCCAGCACCTCAGTTGAGAAGATCCACCAGAGTCAGAAAACCTTCCACGAGACTCTCAGAGGATGATTTTGTGTTAGTCACAGATGGAGGAGAGCCAGAGACATATGATGAGGCTATGTCACATGTGCACCGCGAGAAGTGGTACGATGCCATGCAAGATGAGATGACGTCCTTGCATGAGAACCACACATATGAGCTTGTAGAATTGCCTAAAGGCCAGAGAGCACTCAAGAACAAGTGGGTATACAGACTGAAGTGTGATGAGAGTAGCTCACAACCAAGGTACAAGGCAAGATTGGTTGTGAAGGGTTTCAGTCAGAAGAAGGGCATAGATTTTGATGAGATATTTTCTCCAGTTGTGAAGATGACCTCTATTCGAGTTATACTTGGCTTAGCTGCTAGCATGGATTTGGAGATTGAGCAACTTGATGTGAAGACAGCATTTCTTCATGGTGACCTTGATAAGGAAATCTACATGGAACAACCTGAGGGCTTTCAGGTTAAGGGAAAGGAGAACTTAGTTTGCCGTTTGAAGAAAAGTTTGTATGGTTTGAAGCAAGCACCTCGTCAGTGGTATAAGAAGTTTGAGTCCTTTATGTTTGATCATGGCTTCCACAAAACACACGCTGATCACTGTGTCTTTGTGAAGAATTACTCCGAAGGTGACTTTCTTATTCTCCTTTTATATGTAGATGATATGTTAATTGTTGGCCAGGACACCAAGAAGATT